GAAGCTGGAGTCGCAGCCCGTGATGAAGACGTGTTTGTCCGGGAGGTTCCCGACCACCTGCCGCTCCCGGTGCCATCGGCGCAGGATGTATAGCACCAGCAGGGCCGCCAGGAACAGGCACATCCTTGCGAGTGGTTTTTGCCTGTAAAAAACGGTAATTCCAGGATTGTTTCAGTGACAGCCCCATTCTTATCTCCCTTCGTCTGATCTCCCCAAACCCAGGCGTCTGGGAGGTGCAGACCCCGGACCTGAATGATGCCCGCTCTGGGGTGAGTCACAGAAGCCAGAGGACGAGGGGTGCGTGGAAGAACACCTGGCTCTGCCAAGCGCTGCCACATTTCCAGGTGTTTGTCCTTGAATACGAGGCCTCTCCTTTTCTAAGGAGTTCTCTGTGGACAGAGATGCTGTCTGAGCAGGCCCTGAGGTGGGCTGACTGCTGCTTTTGAGGATGACGTTCGGGATTCCTGCCATGGGTATCGTCTGCGTTTCGATTCCATTGGTTTCAGCGTGAACATTTCTGGTACAGCTCCAAAATGCCCCCCGAGACAGACTCACTGCGTCCTGCCCAGTTGTGTTCAAGGAACATCTCAGGCCCACGGCAAGGACTGGGGACAGCTTGTGAGCCCTCTTGTGCTACCAGCTGCAATTCTGTGTCCGGGCAGGCCCTGCTACCACCCACTCAGCATGGAGATGGGCAGACACGTGCCCACAGACTCCTCCGGGCTTTGGCTGAGTTGATGGGCAGGACTGAGCCCTGGTGCCTGGGATGAACTGAAGGGACCCCCCCGCACTCACAAGCCAAGCAAAGCTTCCCACGTGCCGCCACCAAAGTATAAAAGATGCCTGAGCTGAGGTTGTGTTTTCTCAGAGGTGTGGAGCCTCCTTTACCTCTGCGCGAGGCAGGCATAGTGCATGCACTCCCACATGCACATGCACATGTGTGCTCACACACACGGATCACCTTGGGACCAGCCAACAGCCTCTTTACATCATTGTACGTGGCAGGATGAGGTGGCAGCTGGGAGATCCTGGTAAGCACAAGGCCCCCAGGCAGGCCAGCTCAGGCGGTTCCTTACCTTGGCAGTCTGTGTCCCAGCCCTGGAGACCCCCGGCAGGGCTCCCGTTCCCAGGCACTTGGCAGACTAACTGGAAGGGGAAATCCTAGCTGCACACAGGTCTCCGCACCCTTCTACTCGGGTCCCGTCCCGGGGATCGTCCTGGTCGGGGCTGCGATGACTAGTAAAGCATGACAAGTGCCCCAGGTCAGGAGGGAATGGAGATGGTGGAGAGAAGAGCTGAGGCAACACTCAGGAACAAATGTAAATGTGTGTCCTGGTGTTGACATTTGTGCCTGAGGGAGGCAGATCGCAGGTTTCCTCCTACACATTCCCCTGTCCTTGCATCTTGGCTCAGGCCATTTATCCTCTGCAACAGAGTGGAAAAGCCAGAAGATGTCCTGGCCTCTCACTTGTCCGGCTGGCCCCAGGGCATGGGAGGGACTTGCTCTGTGGGGCCTTTGCTGAGCCAAATAGCAGAGAAGGGCAGAGCTGCTGGACCCAGCAGGACCCGGCTCATTCCCACCTGGTGAGAGCAGGGGCGTGTGCAGTTATAAGCCTGGGGTGAAGCATGCCCTCTCCTCCACCTCTGGTACCCAGCTAGGGCTACCAGGCAGAGAAGGTACTGGCTGCCAATGTCTGCTTTGGCCCAAGTTGCCCATGTGCTTGTTCCAGGCTTCAAAGCTAAGGGAGCTGCCTGGTGGGAAAGATGTGGACCGGAATGGACCCAGCATAGGGCTCTGAGGATTACCTGGAAAGCCTTGGGCAGAGAGGCCTGCCACTGCCGGTTACTAGAGCACTGTCCCATTGTCAGCACTAGAAGCTTGAAAGCAAGGCCCCATCCTTCCAGGAAGGTCTGAGCCTGGCCTGCCTTGGAAACTGCAATGCTGCTTGCAGGGCAGGTAAGCGCTGACCTCCAAGAGCACAGCCTGGATGAGACCTGCCTGGGGGGAGGCCTGATCTCCCCTCGTCCCTGGAAGACAAACTTCCTTGGACCCTGTCCCCCTGTTGCTGCCAGCTCCAAGGAGCAGCCCCTGCAGGGGTGTCCCCAGCTGGCTCAGGTTGGGCATCCTGGGAAAATGCCCAAGGCGTGGCTGAGGAAAGTGACCTTTTTTGGCATTGCCCATGGATCAGGATGTCCCTACATGTACTGGCAGGGAGAGCGACCTGACCTAACAAGTCTGTGCATGGAGTCTCCCAGAGAACATGCAACCCCCTGCCCCAGCCCCTCCCTAGAGTCCCCAGGGTTTGGTCTTTCACCCGCCCCTGGTCCCTGTCCTACCCCGACATAGGGCCCCCCACAGGGTTCCTGCCCCAAGGCCATCACATTCACACCCCTGCACTGGGGATGCGCCCCTCAGACTCACAGTGGTCAAAGAACTGCTGCCCATAGGCCTCCTTGACCTGGGTGATGGCACGGCTTCATACCTGCTCCTAGCCCTTCCAGATGTGCTTGGCCTCTACACTGATGTTTGGAAGGTGCCCAGCTTGCAGATGGAGACCTTGACCCTGACATTGCAGAGCTTTGGAACTGGCAGGGTGAACGCGGGGCGGGAGCCCAGCCTTGGGCTGAGCCAGGGCCTCGCCACAGCCCCTCAGGCACCCAGCTTCCCGGAGGTTGCAGAGCTGGTGCATCCTTGTGAGGAGACTGGGAAGTGCTGTGTTGTTTTCTCGTGCTCGCAGCCCTGGGGATGTGTGTCGAGGCCCAGAGACAGGATGAAAGCAGAGAGGTCCCGGGGCTCCTCCCCACAGCAACTGCCTCTGCCTCCTTTTGGGGAGGTGGGTGCTGCCATGTCCTGCTGTCTTTGCATCCTGGCCTAGGCTGCGATCTGCTACAGGGAGCCCTAAGCCAAGCGTGTCCCAGCCTCTTGCTGGCATGGCTTAGAAGGGAACTGCTCTGTTTGGCCCTCCCTGGGGCTGAGCCAGCGACCGGAGATGGGCACAGATGCTAGACCCTGCTGGGATCCCTGTGTGCGCCCTGACGTTCCCGCCCGCTGGGTGTGGGGGCACGTGCAGCTCTGAGCCAAGAGGGGCAGGACACACATCGACCACCCCCAGGATGCAGAGACAGGGCACCGAAGGGCCTGGCCCCTTTTGCCTTCCCGTGGTGTTAAACAGAGAAAACGCAGTGTCCCCCGCATGGGTAATGCGTCTTTATTACACCAAGAACAGCTTCTGCTCTGGCCCTGCCAATGGCCCCCCCTTCTCCAGCATGCCGCTGGACCATTAATAACTAACCAAAGCCCACAAGACACTGCCATGTGGAGACAAGAAGCCCGCAATGTCTGGGCCTCCCAGCTCCTTCCAACACCTCCTGCCAGCCAAGGTGTGCAACAGTGAACGATAAGGACACCTACCACTCCCCCCACCGCTACCCGCCACTCTTGGAAAGCTTGTAGGCTGCTACGTGATTGGAAATCTGGACTGCTGCCATCTGGGGCTCACTCCATTCCAGAGCTGAGCCCTCTCTGTGGTGAGATAGAAGCTAGAAAAGAGTCATTAAGCATCGCGTGCCAGGCGCTGGGATGCTGGGGATCCACATAGAGCATCTCGGCGGCACGGCTCCAGCTTTGGCAACGTTGCTGCCTAGATGCCCTGGGCAGGCTTGGGCGTACTGCAGGTCAGCAGGTAGTCTGCCCATGAGGTTGGCAGGTAGGAGACGGGGAGGTAGAAGAGCTTGGCGTCCCAGCCACAGGAATAGCGGGTGCGGGGGTGCCGGGCCGTCAGCGCGTGCTCCATGGCGTCGGTGACCAGGTGGAGCTTGGGGCTGGTCGTGAAAAGGAGCTCCTTCAACTTCTCAATGCCTGCATGGAGGGAAATCTGGCAGTGAGGAGCCCAGCCAGGCTGGGGCACAGGAACTAGCATCACGAGGGCCAGGGGAGACCTGGGGACAATTTGGGCTCCATTGCAATGGCCAGGACAGGCCCTGGACCCTCCTCCCCCACCAGCTCTCCAGAGCCCGGGGAGGTTCTGGTCCCGGCAGAGCAGGGTGAAGCTGTGCACACGGCTGCATCGTCCCCACTCTGCAGCCCTGGGGGGCTGACTGGTCCCCAGCAGGGACAGCCCTTGCTTGGGGTCTCCCCACACCTGTGCCCACAGCTGAGCAGGTTTGCAGACAAGCTCGGCTGCAGGGCACGGGGTTGCCACATCTGCCTGCAGTGTCCTGCGCTGCCCAGACGCTGCTTGTGTGCTAGGCCTTGCCAGGGAGATAGCTCCCAGGTCCCGGATGCTGCAGCCCAGTGCTGCCAAAGCCATGACTGGGCTCTGCACTGCGGGGCTGGGATCTCTGCCAGAAATTCATCCCCCCAGGCTGAGCCCTACTCTCACCTCCCCAGCCCCCCATGGCTTGAAGCTGTAATGAGGCAGGTTTAGGAAGGAAAAACTTCCTCACAGTCAGAGCAGGGAGGCCATGGGATAGATGGTAGGGACAGTGGGGGACTCTCCATCGCTGGAGGTGTTCAAGGAGAAGCTGGGCAGCTGCTGGGCAGCGAGGATCTAGGCGTAGCGATGCCTGTATTCTGCTATGGAGGCTTCTGGACTTTGCTGGCTGCTGCATGGGGCTGGGAGAGAATTCTCCCCCTGCTTCTGCTCCATGTCCCAGGGCATGTTTAACACTCTCCCCCCCACCCCAAAGGCACTCGGTGCTGGCTGCAGCCCAGGTTGGGGGTGAGGACAGGACTGTGCAAGTTCCCCTGCCATGACTCACCCCGGAGGGTCCTGGCTAGAGGGTCTTGCCCTTCCACTCAGGGTTAAACCGATGCGGCATTGGGGTTGGGAAGGAATTTTAACTCCTGGTCAGATTGGTATGGACTGGGGGCTTTGCTTTCCTCTGTAGCAGGGGGTTTAGCCTCCACCTGGGATCTCTTGAGTGTCTATTAACAACCTTTGCATTGGCAGGATGTTGGTGGCCACAGTCCCCTGCTTTCCCTGT